ATTTTTTCTTAAGGCAAGTGAGATTAATTTTAGATAAATGATATATTGTAATCCCTAAACCTATTTGTTGATATTTTTCAAAATTATTTTCAAATGAGTTTGCCCTAAAAGTGTTAAGATTTGCTAATTTTTTCTAGAAAGTTGATTATAATGTCCCTTAGGACTTACGTGAAGATTATTATAGTATTATAAATTGAAAATCTTAGAACTTGAGAATGGGTTTGAAACCCTAGTTTTGCCCTAACCTAGTTATAGTTTTTGGGAAAAGATTTATGATTATGTTTATATATTATGATTTTTGAGTTAGATTATGCCTATTGGGATGAACATATTATTCAAATATTTATTTGGGGAAATAAAGTGAGATTATAATGAATTTGTTGGATTTTAATATTCTACTTTTTGCTTGGTTAATGTTGGCAATTGGAACAGCTTGAGTTTAAAGCTCTCTTTTTAAAATTTGCCTAATAGCACGTTGAGTATTCGATCAAATTAGTAATTAAAACTACCCGTCGGGTCCGATCAACTCGTCGATTGTTTGGATGACAAGGCATAGTCTTCCACCTCTGCGCCTTGCAAACACGTGAGGGTATACCGGTATTTTAGGATAGTTAGCTAACCTCGAACTAGAACCCGAATGAGCTAGGTCAAGGGGTTGAGATGGCGGGTTCCCTTTTTGGGTGATTCCGAGGTGCCCGCCATTTACAATGAAAAGGTCTTTAGACCGTCATCCGTGATGGATGGATGGATTGCGTACAATCCCCTCTTGATATGTTATATTGGAGACTATAGGGTTGTGGACCGTTTGGCGCCCCTCGCAAACTAATAAATAAATTGACTTACGTGTACTTTGGGCTTCGAACCCTTAGATACACATTGTGGAGCTTTTCTTGAGGGTTGTGACTCTATGTTTGTTATGTGTAATTATGTGACGTGTCATTCGAAGTAATAAGGTTGGAAAACAGGGTCGAGCAGACCCTAATTAAGGCCTAGTAGAGTTTCTTTGTGATGTGTTCATCATCATTATTTGAGAATAAAAAGGATATATAAGGAAGACGCTAAAAGATTTGTGTGTGTGAGTTATCCTTATGTGATATGTGACAGTTTATTCAAATTATCCTTTTCGAATGATTTTGTGGCATTTACACGTGAATCAAGACTTATATCGTATTAATTTATCTTCGATTAATTGTGCTTACCTAACCGTTGTGTTGACCCTCTTCTTACAACTTTTTTATAGGTGATGATGCTTTTGTTATACTTAAATGATGCATCCACGTTATATGATTCATCAGGGGAACTATAACTACCTTATTTTCTAGAATCTTTTTTAAATTCATTAATTATATTTAAGGAGTAATGTCTTTTGAACTATTTTCAACTTATGTTATTTACTTGAACTTTACTTATTTAATTGATAAGCCGGTGCGCTTTAATTTTAAATCTCTATTTACTTGTTTGTATTCATTATTTTAGCCTTAGTGCCACAACGAAGGGGTAGTTGGTTGATGAACGAGCCTTCCGGTGACACTTAGGTTTGAGTTGGCCGATGTGTTATAGAACTTGTGACCGTGAGGTCATAAGTTTAAATTCCGATGCCACCAGGTCCACCTATTGTGACTTGCCTTGTCGGACCTAGTTTACAGGGTATTAGATTCGACCGAAAATTTATCCAGTACGCACTTTTAGGTAGCGACTGCGGGTTACCACTTTATATAAAAAAAAAAAAAAAATGCAATTGACGAACTTTACCCCCAAGATTTGGTTTTGGTTTGTGTTTGGCTGGCTCTGTAGAGCCTCAAAAATGCCTTTCGTGTTTCTGTGCTTTCAATTATCTTCCAAAATATCATAGTATGTATTGACCAAGAGTCCTTTCATCTTAGAGCATTGGCGTCCAGTTCATCCGGACACATCAGCATTTTTATTTACAATAAATTGTTGAATATCCTATGAGCATCATTGCAAACATGCCCATGGGATGCCCAATTTTGTTTTTAATAATGTGTATTTGTATTTTATTTTTAATAGTTTTATATTATATATAACTTTATTTTATACAAAATAATATGCATATTAATTGGTATAAATGTATTTTTTTATAAAAGTTTTAATTATAAATATAAATATATATTTTATTGAATTGGAAGTAAAAAAAAAAAAAACGAAAAAAAAAAAGAATGATGTGAAGATATGAAAATATTTTTTATGGTATCTTGGCTGATAGCCATAGAGCATCTGCAACTGGGTGCTTTTTTGCATAGTACTCCACATGTCACTAATTTAACAAATAAAAGAATAAAATAATACGCATGACAAATCTAATTTGGAGAGCCGAAAGCATTCCAATAGAACCTCTGATTTAATAATACTTTTGATTTTATAATATATTTGTTTTTAATTATATTTTGTACATTTTATTTTTATTATATATATTTATTAATAATTTTTATATTTTATTTTTTACAAAATAATACTAATATTAATATATTTTTATTTAATAAAATTTTAATTGAATATAATCAATTAATAATAATATAATTTAATTTTATTGTACGCACTCAAAATTAATTGGACTGGTCCAGTACAAGCACAGTCCAAGAAGAATGATTTTTGGCCCAGCTTCCGGCTGGCCCAAGCCAGCCCAAACCGGCAAACGGGCTTGCCGACCTGCCTGACCTAATGTTTAGGGCCCAATTCAATTTCAGGGTGGCCCAACACAAGAAAGAAGCTGGGTAAGAAAGAATGTGGAAGTTGTTGAAAGAGAATTGAAGTTGTTGGATAATAACTAGAGATAAAATCTTATTTAAATAAGATCCAAACAAATAACAACATTCCAGGAAGATTAGAGAGCATTCTGCACGTTATTCAACATGAATCATCTTTTTTTTCATAATTTTTTTTTTCCATATTTTTATAGCTTCTTTTAATTAATTCAAGTTTTTCTTTATATATATTTCCAGCTTTTTTTTCTTGCATTATTAGCTTTAATTTTGCCTTCTTTTTACATTAATTATTCGGATATCGCGAGATAGCCTGGATTATTTCTTAAAGAGGCCGGGGAATCCTTCAAAACAAATCGATTTTAGCAGGCTTCCGATTAAGCCGGCGGAGGTGATGTTTTACGACAACAGAATTGGCACGCCCAGTGGTACACCAACATATCACGATTTTTGCATGCAACTTTGAAAAAGAAAACTGATACCGCCGACAACCATGGAGATGTTGAAAAACAAGGAAATTGTCGGCGACTCGTCATCGCACCCTGCGCAAGAGGCTGTCTTGCGTAATGTGGCCTCTATGGCGGTTGGAAGGTTGGATCCTATCATAAGCGTACTCCAGGAGCAAATCCGAGGGGAAATTTAGTCTTCCCTCCATGAATCTGTCTTGGAACTGTCAAAGTACATCACCGACCTACTAAAGTCCACTATCCGGACTGAATTTGTGCTACTTCCGAAGGAGAAAGCTCGAAAAGGCAAGGCCCGGTGGCCAGCTCCAATCCTCCGGATTGGCCTCCTGCCAACCTTATAGCCAGCTCCGGGGTGGATCCGACCTTCCAGGCGCTCAAATATGGCCAGCTTGCGATTTTTGGCAAAAACGGATTCGAAGAACTTCCATTTAATGCCCGGAAGCTCGGAGAATCTAGCGTGCCGGCTGGGTTAGCCTCATTCGGGCCGCCTCCAACATGTGGATTCGGCATATCCTTCGGGTCAATACCAGCAGCTATGTATTGGCACTCGAGTTCATCATTAACGGTAGGGGTGGAAATAGGCCAGGCGGCCTGTCAGGGGCCTATGACCTGGCCTACATCAAGCCTGGCCTGGCCTGTTCTATTTATTAGAAAGACCAGGTTCAGATTTTTGTTAAAGCCTGTTTATATATACAGAATAGGCTTAGGCTTATGAAAAAGCCTATTTACTAAACAGGCCGGCCTGTTTAATAATAATATTATTATTATATAAAATTATTTTTTATTATTATAAAATAAGAATAGTTTTATATATAATAATGATATATAAAAAAAAAATTTTTAATTATAAATTTATTAAAAAAAACAAAAATAAAAATAATTTTTATCCCAATAAAAAATTTCAAATATGAACAACTACTGCACACATGTTCCTTTTTTTGTTTCTTTTATCATAATTCAAATATTATCCCGCTGTAAACTGAACAACAACTGCCCATATTCCTTTTCCACCGCTGCAAGCCTGCAACTGCTGCCAGACCTCCACGCCGTCCAGGGTTTTGCAATCTTCTTCACAGAGACCCACTACTTTTCTTTTTCCTTCTTCTGTCTTCATCGCCTCTTCTTTTTTATTGCTACCGGTGGAATTTGGAAAAATAAGGTAAATATCGTTTTTATATGTTTTTTTTCGTTATTTTTATTTAGATATGAATTTCAATATATATATTTTTTGTTTTTTTGTTATATTTTATTTATCTTATATATTTTTTTATGACGTTTTTTTTTTGTTTTTTTATAACGTCATTTTTTTAAAATAGTTTTGTTATTTTTATTTTTGTGTTTTATATTATTTAGATTAAAATGAAAATTTTATATTTTTGTAGAAAAATATAAGATATATATTACAAGAATGAACAGTTTCTGATATTTTCGTTTATAATGTATATCATTAATTAAATAAATTTTTTTATTTATTTTGAAGCAGGATATGGCTTCGATGGATGAAACAAATATTTTTGATCTTCCATCTGATACACACAATAGTATATCAGTGGATTCCCTTTCAAGCCAACCTGTGGATGATAACAGAAATGAAGACGAAAGGAATTCAAATCAAGCAAATGAAGGTGCCAATAGGAAAAAAAGGAAAAAAACTTCAATTGTGTGGAATGACTTTGATGAAATTCAAGTTGCTGAAGGTGTTAAGAAAGCTATTTGCAAATACTGTAAAAATGCATTTGCTACTGGGGGAAGAGGTGCGAGCACAAGCCATCTAAAGAGACATTCAGAAGGGTGTTTGTAGAGGTCAGTACAAATGGCTTCACAAAAGAAACAATGTGTCATTCCTTTTAAGCCATCCAATTCAAGTAATCCGTTTATAAGTCCGGGGTTTAGATTTTCTAATGAAAAGATGAGGGAAGTCATTGCCACTTCTATTATGGTACATGAGTATCCTTTTAGCATTGTAGAAGACGATGCTTTTATATGGTCATTTCAGTATGCGAACCCTGAATTTCAGAAAGTTTCTCGTAAGACGATACGAAGTGATTGCATAGCAATATATGAAGCAGAAAGAAAAGCATTGAAGGAATTATTAAAGAGTGTGAGCAAGATTAGCTTGACAACAGATATGTGGAAATCCAGTCATCAAGTGATTGAATATATGGTAATCACTGGTCATTTTATAGATTCTGGGTGGAAGCTTCAGAAAAGGATTTTAAGCTTTGTCAAGGTGCCTGCTCCAAGGCGAGGAATTGATGTAGCCAATGCCATTTTCAAATGTTTGAAGGCTTGGGGGATCGAAGATAAAGTGTTCTCAGTATCAGTTGACAATGCTTCATATAATGACTCGTGCTTGAGGTATCTAAAAGACTACATATCACGCAGCACCAAGCTTGTCCTCGATGGAGCTCTATTTCATGTTAGATGTTGTGCACACATATTGAATCTTTTGGTGCAAGATGGGCTTAGTCGAATCAAAGATATCATCCATAATGTTCGTGAAAGTGTGAAGTATGTAAACTTCAATGATTCAAGATTGAAGAGTTTTGGTGAAGTAGTTGAACAAAAGCATCTAAAAGAAAGGAAGTTGATAATTGATTGTCCAACAAGGTGGAATTCTACATATCACATGTTAGCCGCTGCTTTAAAATTCAAGATTGTCTTCTCAGAATACCAAGAAAGAGAACCTCATTATACATTTGCACCTTCAAATGAAGATTGGGAGAAAGTCGAGAAAGTTTGTAAACTTTTAGAGGTTTTCAACTTAGCTACCAATTTAATATCTGGAAGTGAATATCCTACTGCCAACTTGTATCTTTCAGAGGTCTGGAAAGTGAAGCAAGTAATTGATGATGCGACAAAGGATGATGATCTTTTTATGATACAAATGGCAACGCAAATGAAAGAAAAGTTTGATAAATATTGGGGTGAGTGCAATCTATTGATGGCTGTTGCAAATGTATTGGATCCGAGAGTTAAATTTCATGGTGTTGAAATATGTTTTCCAATGATATACAAGTCTGAAGAAGTTGCTGCCGAGTATGTGAACAAAGTGCGTGCTTCACTGCAACAACTATATAATGATTATGTGGCCTTAAGTGTTGAAGAATCATCCTCAAGTCAGTGCAATATGGCTAACATCTCCTCTGCCACCACCCAATCTGAATCTGCGATAGTTACTGGGTTTGATCAAATTATGAGTCTTGTAAGAGCAAAAGAAGCAATTCCTATATCAAAATCTGAATTGGATGCCTATCTCGAGGACAGTGTTTATATTCCTGATGGAAATATGTCTTCATTTTGTGCCTTGGAGTGGTGGAGGAACAACAGCATGAAATATAAAGTTTTATCGAAGATGGCTGCTGATGTACTTGCGATTCCAATATCAACGGTAGCTTCAGAGTCTACATTTAGTGCTGGAGGTAGAATTATAGATGAATATCGTTCAAGATTGAATGAAGAATCTATTGAGACACTAATTTGTGGAGGAGATTGGCTTCGACATAAATACAACTTGAAAAAAAAGAAGGTAAATTTTATTATTAACTGTCTTTTCTTTATCTTATTCATCACCCACAATATATTTTTTTCTAATAAAAATATTTCTCTCATTTGAAGGTGAATGAGTCTTTGAAGGAGATAAGCTTATAGATTAAAGAAGTTCTTTAATACTTTGGTTGCGGTACGTTTTAAATTTATAATATTTTCTGAAATTTTTTATACAGATTAATTGTTTGAAAATCTGATTTTTTTAGTAAGATATTGTTGTTGCATGATGTATTTTGGGAGGATTCAACTTTGATTTTCTGAAATTTGTTGCAGGATGTATTGTTTGAAATATTTAGATAGGTTTGCAGGTGGTTGTTTTGATATTACAATTATTTATTTATTTTTTTTAAAATATTTGGATAGGTTTGCAGGTGCTGAAATTTTAAATTTTGATTTCAGGAGTGGAAATGCTAATGTCCAGAAGATATTATTGATCTATTTGCTATTTTTCTCTTGAAACTTTTATTGTATTGGTAAGTAAGATATTCCTTTTTTCTTTTTGTTCTAATATAATTTTTTGATGCTTTGCGTAATTTATATATAGAAGGAAGAAATTTCAGATATAATACTAATTTGATCAACTTTTGTACTTGAACAGATTTAATGGTTTCAGAAACTTTGGGGGAATTTGCAATTTTGTGGCTTGTGGCCTGTGGGTGACGTGAACTTGAAAAACTATGTTATTAATTTCTAAATATTTTTGTCGAATTTTTTAATATTGCTTCTGAGTTAGCGTTGCTTATTTCTTTGTTAGAACAATCAGCTTAATGACAATAGATTGATGTAAACTGTTTTTTTTTTTAATGTCATTATGCAGTAATTTCTATCAGCTTTTGTCTGGAGTTTGCAAGACTTATTCCCAATAATTATATATATATTTGAATGAATTGTAATATACGTTTTTTTGCAAATTATTAGTATAATATATTGTATTTTTATATGGCAATAAAAATGATTATTTTTGTCATTAAAAAACAGAATTTTTTTTTTTTATATATAATATAAATAATTGTATCTGTTTTATTTTTTATTTATAGTACGAAATTTACAAAAAAAAAAAAAAATAATAATAATAATAAATTATTATGTAGCCTTTTAAACAGGCTCGTAGGCCAGGCCAGGCTTTTAAAAAGGCCAGGCTCAGGCTTTAAAAATATTTTTTTTCAGGCTGGTAGGCCAGGCTCAGGCCATATCTTTTTAAGACAGGCCAAGCCTATTTAACCAAAGCCTGGCCTGGCCTGGCCTATTTCCACCCCTTAACGGGAGCCACCCTCAATGCCCTAGCTCTTGGTCTAGGCCTCCAGAGATATCCGACGGCTGGACAAGGCACCACCTATACTTGGGGGCAGGGCCAACAACGATTCTAGCACCGTCCTTCGTTCCAACACCTTCTGGAACGATGTCCCGATGACGTTCCAATACACTGGGAGATAGGTAGCTGCTACGGAAGGTCAACTTGCTGCTGGTTCCGGGGTACAACAGAATTTTGAATTTTCTGCCCAAACAATCCCCGGAAGTCCTTCACTGCAGCAGGCCCTAGTATTTAGAGAAGCTGCGGAAGACCCTCGAGTTCGTTTCCCACAACGGGGACTCGCTCATCAGGCCTTCTCACAGCCGGCAACCCGCGATATGCCGCCCATCCAGACAGTTCCCGAATAGCCTAGGGGCAGGTACAAACGGTGCCGCCGCCTCCTCCACTTATAAATCCCCAAGCGATCGAAGACGCGATTTGGAGGATTTATGGTGATTCTATCCGTTTACCGACTAGGCCTCACTACCAACGGTCTTTCCCGAGATTCAATCATTTGGATCACTCGTTGCCCCGAAACACTAGAATCCCCAAATTCACACTATTTTGGGGGAAGATTCCGTTCCACCATCGAGCACGTCAACCGATTTACAGCTAAATGCAGAGAAGAATACGGGAATAACGAGTGGTATAAACTCCAGCTTTTCACTTTGTCTTTGACAGGTCTAGCTTTTCCATGGTATACGTCGCTGCCCCCGAATTCCGTCCATACATGGACAGACATGGAAAGGGTCTTTCACGAGCGCTTCTACAGCCTTCTTCCAGAGGTAACCATCTCAGATTTGACAAATTCACGTCAGCGTGGTGATGAATCTGTAGAGCATTTCTTGGAACACTTCAGAAGGTCGGAAAGTAGGTGTCAAGTTTGTATACCAGAGAACCAGGTAATGAACATGACAATCAATAATATGATGCACCAGCTGCGTGATAAATTAGTTCTCCAAGAGTACCATGACTTCCGAAAGCTGACATCCAAAGCGGTGAAGGCCGAGCAGTTTGTTAAAGAAGCTCAAACGGCCCGAAATCAAAGTTTCGGAGTAAAAATCACTGCGTCTTTTCCTAAGAAGAGATTGCTGATATCAATGAGGAGTAGGAGGAGACTTTCTTGGCCGAAATCTCTCAGGGGAAGACATATACATGCCCGGCTCTTAAGCCGCCCCGATGGAAGGAGCTGAATCCGAAGTTATCCTACTCTTTCGACATTGCGAAGATGAAACATATTTTTGACTACTTGCTGAAAGACAACCAGCTCCACCTCAAAGAAGGTCACAAGATGCCGACAGAAGAGGAGCTGAATGGAAAATCATTTGGTAAGTGGAATGGAGTATATGGTCATCAAAGAAGGCCGCCTCAAGCTAGCCGAAAAACTTGATATAAAAGTAGACACACAACCATTCTCCGTGCCGATAAACATTGTCGGAGTGCATTCAGCTAAGTTCAGAAAGACAAATTCAGGTTTTGGAGCATATCGAAGGGGAACAAGCCTTAAAAAACCAGTGTTTGAAAGGATTGGAAGGTCGATCAAATCGCCAATGAGGAGTTCGATGATAGATTTCTCCCACGAACACGATCGTGTAAGTAAGTTTTGAAAAAGGAGGTGAGGTTTGGTGAGTGACTTCCGTGGTTCAGGTGGTAATCACGCCCCATTAAATCCGCTTTCCTAGGAAGGTTCGAGACGACGGAAGTTGGACAAGGAACCGGGAAAAACAGGTGATGCGACCTTTTTACTATGACTCGAAAAAAGAGAATGCAGCGACGACGCTTGGCCGCTCGCCTTTCCCAGGAGAACCAGGCTGGGGGGCAGCAGGCTGATGGTCATGAACGTCAAGCCGAGGGGCAGCAGGCCAGGACTCAGAAGGAGCCGTCGTTGGAAGGACGAAGCTTGGTTGGGAGGACCTTCGTCACTGGCTTCAGGCATGAAAGAAATAGAGACCAAAAGGAGTTTTTGCAAGGGTTGAATACACTACTGAACCACATTTTACTGTAACACTCGGGGGGACCAAATTCCTGAGGATAAGCCGATGATCGGTGCTCTTGATTGTGATGAGGTGTCGGAGGCTACCTTCGATATCATAGCTTCCAACCAAGACCTTGAAAGACCTTCACATTATGAGGGAGACCTCAAGGTTAATACAATAGGTGTGTTACCTCGAGAACTCGAAGCTCCTTCAGCTTAGCCTAACTATCTGTAGGGAGATGTTATGTTGGAGGGAGCTGGTTTGTTATGTTGAGTGGATCAAAATTCCGACATCCAAAAAGGAGGATCAGAACTAGTAATCTTCCAGAAATTAACGGACGAGACTACGCGTTATTTGAAGCCCTTGTTCCTTTCTGTATATCTCGATGGGCAAACCGTCAGCAAGGTCCAAGTCGATGGAGGAACATCTGTCAAATTCATGACCTTGTCTAGCATGTAGAAGACTAGGAAAAACAGAAACGATCTCGTCCCGACAACCATGCAAACGACCGACTTCACTAAAAACACACATACAACAACATATGTGTTGGTGGCGAAAGTGACGGTCGGAACAAGGATGGTCTAGATAGATTTCTTCGTCATCGAAGGAAAGCCAACTTATTTGGCCATTCTCGGGAGGGATTGGATCCACGCTACTCAATGCATCCCTTCGACATTGCACCACAATGTTATGGTTTGGAATGGAGACCAAGTCGAGACGATAGAGGCCGAGGCTGATCCGGCTATGGAGGTGCATTCCACAGAGGCTGTTTATTATTCCCCCGATGTAGACCCACTGTCCATGATGTTGGAGGACACTAGAATATGGAAAGAATGCAATCTAACCATGAAGGAGATCGAAATCAAAGTCGAGGCCGACACATGGCCTAATAATTCAGGTATTTAACATGTCTGACATTCTAATTTTATAGGATCTGGAGGCAAGGGTAGGCACGTCCGGTTGTTCATTCATACAGGCTGGAAATCATTCCGCTCAACCTCCTGACGGGCCGGCAGGGACACGCTCCTAGCCGCCTAATTACGATCAAGGCGAAGAGGATATTCATTTACTGATTCGAAGAGCTGCTCCACCTTTCGAAGCGCAGGATCCATTGGAGGAGGTAAACCTGGGAGACGAGGTAGCTCCTTGGATGACACGGATCAATGCCTTTATTGGATATCGAGAAAAAGGAGCAAATGGTTGATTTGATCCAAGAAGTCAAGGATTGCTTCACATGAGGTTACCACGAGATGCCGGGGTTGTCAAAGAGCTTAATGGAGCATCGATTACCTACTAAAATTTCATTTAGTTGCACAAACAGCCCCCTAGGCATTTCAACCCGGAATTGTTGCCGAAAGTAAATGAGGAGGTCGAAAAACTTCTTAATGCTAACTTTCTTCGAACATGCAGGTACCTGGAATGGATTTTTAACATTTTTACCAGTGGTGAAGAAGAATGGAAAAATTCGGATATGCATAGACTTCCAGAACCTTAATTTGGCGACACCGAAAGATGAATATGTGAGGGCAATTGCCGACATGCTCGTGGATTTCACGGTTGGGTACGAGATCCTTTCTTTTAAGGATGGCTACTCGGGTTATAATCAGATTTTTTTAGCCAAGGATAGCACCCATAAAACAGGTTTCCTTTGCCCCGAAGCTGTCGGGATCTTCGAATGGATAGTTATGCCCTTCGGTCTCAACAATGCCGGAGAGACCTACCAGAGGGCGACAAACGTGATTTTCCACGATCTGATCGGTGCTTGTATGGAGGTATACATATACGACATGGTGATGAAGTCCCGAACATTCAATCATCATCTGCTGGACCTTCGGAAGGCCTTCATGCGAATGAGGCAACATTACCTCAAGATGAACCTGACGAAGTGCGCCTTCGGAGTACAAACGAAGAATTTCTTAGGTCTTTTGGTCCATAAAAAAGAGATCAAAGTTGAAAAAAATAAATCCAAGGATGTCCAAAACCTTGGGTACCCCCGTAATATTAAGGAGCTGCAAAGCTTGATGAGAAATGTCAATTTCTTGAAAAGATTCATCATCAATGCTGCTTGGAGAATGAAGGTCTTCTCGGTACTGCTGCTTGGGAATAAAGATGTGTTAGAGTGGAGAAAAACCCAGCAAGAAGCTCTGGACCAGATTAAGCGGGCGTTAGCATCTTCTCCGATGTTAATGCCGCCAATCAGCGGAAA